GTTACAAATGAGTGAGGTTAGTGTAAAATGGATAAATGTAGCATAAAATTCTTTTTACAATGCCCATGTTTAGTTGACCTGATACAAATGTTTATCATACAAAAACAGTTGGGGGCACAGGTCTCTGCTACTGTTATTTTGTGGGTCAAAAGGGGAACCACTGCACTTTGGTTCCCAAAGTTGGGCTTGGGACCCAATTATGGGTCATGAAGCACCTTGGATAATCTCCAGAAATCAATTCAAAGGAAAATAAAATAATTGATGATGTAATATTTTCCCTATAATTATTACAAAACAGAAAATGAGTATAAATAAGTATTTATATTTGTGTACAAGCTGGTTAGACTGTCAAAAAGCCTGTGTTTTTAGAGTTTTTAACAACGTTCGTGTACTCAGACCAGTAATATTTGGGGTCACAAATTTTTGCTATGCATATTTTGTGGGTCAGAAGATAAAAAGTTTGGGAACCTCTGGTTTAGAGGTTAATTCAGCCTTTAAACTTTTACATAAACTCATTTTAAGAATAATTTTTGATTAAATTATTTCGTCCAGATATAATCTTGATTAGTCACATGGGGTCAGGCTCCCTGAGGATTGGTCTTTACGCATTTTATTTATTTATTTCTTCTTTTTAAATCTTGTACTTTTGTTTTTTATTCTTTGTTTATGTTCTGCTGCACCTCAACACCATTCCTTGATTCTGAATGTATAACTATAATAAAGTTAGTTTTTTTCTGTCCCGTGGACCCTGTGGGCCCAGCCTGCCCCTCCTGAGTGGACAGAGAGTCTAAAATAGGACCAGGTCCGGGTGGAGCCTCAAGCTCGCCCGAGGTCATAAAGTTGGCCCCGCGCTCTACTTAATTGCTGTCACATGTAACCTTACCTGTCCCCCCAATTAGCCCCTCGACTCGCTATTAGGAGCTCCCCGCGCGAGCTGAGGGGCTCCTCGGGGTTTTGGGCTCCAATAATTAGAGTGTAATTCAAGCCAGCCGAGATTGATGATCAATTTGGGCAGGAGTTCACCCAAAAGAGGCTAATTACCTGAGGATCAGCGGGATGTCCACTCAAAAACCAGCGGAGACATCTTGTCCTGTCAAAATAAACTTATTTAAATGATATAAACAGAGAAGTCAGATGTTGAAGAATAAACACTAAAAATTAACTGAAATAAAAACCCACTGGTTGAACAGAGTCAGTCACAGATGAGACGTCTCATGAGTTTGCATGAAGTTCTGTTCAAGGTTTGACCAAAACAACAACAGCGTCATGTGATTTAAGTCTAAAACAGTGGCAGGTGATATGCCTTTCCTCTAGTTTAGATCTTTAATTATTTAATTGCTCTTTTTCACACTTAATTTTTACTTCTGCACTTTGTGCCGTTTTATTGTTTTAATCATTCATATTTCAAAACTTTCAGCTCATTGAGAAGGTTGGTGCTGTGATTTAAATCTTTGTCTTTGTTAAATGAATTAACATATTTTCAAATCATCCAAAGACTTGTTTTTAAAATCGAACATGTTTTTGCTAAATGACTACTTCTGATGCTTATTCTAAAGGCTAATTCTGCTCATTTTTTTCTACTGACATGAAGATAATGTTAATGTTCTAATGCTATTTCTACTGCTACTGCTAAAAAAGCTAATGCTAATTCTAGTAGGCTGGGCCTACTGTTACTGAAGGCTCCCACATCCAGCAAACTGTGAGTTGCACGGACTCCGCCCATATTGTCTGCAGACGTTTGAGGCCTCATACTGACCGCCTGACAAATTCTTTAATTTCTCACAGTTTCAGTCATGATGTCAAGGACAAGGAGAAAGAGACGGTTTGTGTTTTAGCTTTAAAACAACAAAAGAAAAAAAAGAAAAGAACTACCTTACACTCAGGATCTTTGTGGATTGCTTATTAAAGCTCTGRAACAGTAAATATATTTATTTTTCACATTTTATGGACAACAACATGGACCACACGTACAGCACATGGATCTCAGCAAAACTTGCTSCCTTTGCTATGATCATAACATACGCTGCAGGTTTTATGGTGCGTCAGATTGTAACTGAGGTGTGTTGAGATGTGTGTGAATCATCTTTGGTCTCTAATGCTGTCCAACCTCAATATGATGATTTGTATCAGCTGCTTCAAATGAAAAATAAAGGTGGGCTTGTTACCACCCTCACAAGGTGTAGTGCACCTTTTAACTGCAGCAGAAAAAGGCATCAGGCTCTTCATGAACATTTGTAACAAATGTCTGCTCCCAACACAGAGTGTTGGTCTGTGTAAAAAATGAATGTGGGGATATGGATCCATTGTGCCTCAGAAAACATATAGTGGAGTCTCAATATGGCATGGACAACCATTACTTTGACCTCATCCAACTCCTGGTGACCAGTTACTACACCATCAGACAGAAACATGTTGTCAGATTACACACTTCAGATTAAAAAAAGAGTCTGTTCATCAGAAACTGACTAAGATCATTCTCTTCAAAGGCCAATAATTAAACAGTACAGGAAAAAAAACACTAAAAAAAATACAGTAAAGTACAGAATAACTGTGGACTTGCATTTAATTTACAAATGATTTTCAATCTTATTATTGAACACAAGTTTGTTTTGAATTTAAAATTTTTGAGTTTATTGTGTATTTCTGAACGATGCTTTCAAAATTATGCTTTAAGCCTTGTTTTTTTTGTATTGTACTTTGACAATGTAATTTTAGTATACTTTCTTTTACTTGTTTTGACTA